GACTGGACCTACTTTACGACGTTTCTTTTTTCTGCTGGTTGTTAAATGAACACCATGGTTGTTAAGGAACTCTCTGATACCAATGGGCATTTTTTTATTTTTGCTAAAAACCAGAAATAAATGCCGGAAACCAGCAACCACATTGAAAATTGCAATTGTGTAAGAGGTTCTCTTACCTGGGAGTAAATATCACAGACTACCAGTTTTAAAAATATATCTACCATCCTGGATGCAGACTCTAACATGCATATTGCACATTCCTTTTTAGAGTTTTATTTTATTTTATTTTAGATTTATTTTATTTTATTTTATTTTAGATTTATTTAATTCCCACAACACGGTCAGCCTATTCCTAAACTATTCGTTACCTTCTTATGACTATAAGTTTGTTGCTTGCATCCTACGATCTATATATTAATTGTTTTATTTAGTATCCCGATATGCTTTACGTTGATTGCTTATTTAGTATCCTATGACCATCACGGAGTGTTGTATCTTATGATTTATGATGAGTGTTTTTTTATGATTATATCCGTGATTTATCACTTGTTGCTTGTATGTACACTGAGAGCGTCTGCACCGGAGATAAATTCCTTGTGTGTCCTAATCACGCTTGGCTGATAAAGAATTATATTCTATTTTATTTTATTTTTAAGATTTTTTTAAAAAAATATCCCGCCTTTATTCTTTTTGTAAATACAACTTTTAAGGTGGCAAACATTCCTAATACTCCTTCCCCACTCCTATTTTCCCCACAACGATCCTATGAGGTGGGTTGGGCTAAGAGGGAGGGACTGATCCAAAGTCACCCAGCTGGCTTTCATGCCTAAGGAGGACTAGAACTCACAGTCTCCCGGTGACTGGCCCAAAGTCACCCAGCTGGCTTTCATGCCTAAGGTGGTTCTAGAACTCACTGTCTCCTTATGATTGGCCCAGTGTCACCCAGCCGGCTTTCATGCCTAAGGCAGGACTAGAACTCACCGTCTCCTTGTGATTGGCCCAAAGGCTGATTGCGCATGCGTGAGAGATGGCGGTCTTCGGTGAATAGCTCCGAAAACGCGGAGCCCGAAATGGCTAAAGGGGGAGCTTGGAAAGCTCCCTGAAAGGTCCGGAGACTCCCCCCCTCCCGGTAAGCCCCCCTGGACTAGATACGGGACGCATGGGGGCGC